CCTCGTGCGGGTGGTGGGCCTGCGGGACGATGGGCCCATGTCTCCTCTTCGGGCTGTGCCCGGTCGGGCCCAATGAACTAAGGCCCGGCCACCAGACGCTCGCCCTCGGGCACCCTCCCCGGGCCTGGCTCCAGCACGGGGCCCCGGTAATCCTATCCCAGGCAGGGTAAACTGTTCCCTCGATGTTCTCTTCATAAGGGTCTTCTGAATCGCTCTTTGTCTGGTCCCTCACCCAGGACCAATTTGCCATGGGAGACCCTACCAGTGGGCTAAAGCCCCCAGACAACATAGCCCCTGGGATCCCTGGGACACACAAACTCCTCCACCACAATAAGGTAGTGATTCACGGAGAGGGTCTGACCATAATGCACAACAAAATGTTTTACAGAAACCAGTCAAGCCAAATCACCCCAAACACCTCATACCAACTGTCAAGTACTGTGGTGTAGGGGTAATGATTGGGACTTTGCTTTGCAGCCGCAGGACCTTGGTGTTTTTCAGTCACTGAGTTAAACATGAACTCTTCTGTATATCAAAGTATTCTAGATCTGTCCAACAGCTGAAGTTTGGCTTAAAGCTGGGTCATTCAACAGTGATCCCATGCATTGCAGCAAATCTACCACAGAATGGCTGAAAACAGAGAACAGTCAAGGTTTTTACAGTGTTAAAGTGAAAGTACAGACCTCAACACAAATGCCTGCAAACATAAATGAAATAAAGCAATGCTGTACATAGCAGTGGACCAAAATTCCTCTGCAATAATGTGAGAGACAGATAAAGTCAAACAGAGTGACGTGAAAACTTTCATGAATGTCTATTGTCATTTCCAAGGGAAATAAGGCTTTGATACCAACTTCTGCAAGCCAGTAAAAACTGAGGTTATCATCATGCAGTCAAAAAGTTTAACACATGTTTGCATGATCAACACATCTCACACCACATATGTAGAATTTCTGACTTAATAGTTTCATTAAACTAGTTAAGCCGACTACAATAACAGCAAGGTATGTTGCAAACACAGTACAGAAGTGATATATGCTACCTGATTAAGTCAATTGTTAAGAATGCAGAGCTTTGACATACCCTTTAATCATAAGATAATAGATCTTTTCACAACCAATGTTTCAGCCCTGCAGCAGATTCGTCTTTAACACAAGTTTCCACAAAGGTAATGTCACAGGCTTGCCAAGCAGACACATCAAATCTGATTTCGTTTCACTTTTCTTTCTCATGAGAGGAAAGAAATTTGCTTTTTAAGCAAGTGAAGCCTTAAAGAGGCTTTGTGAAGTCACGAATACCCTTAAACTCTATAGAGGAGAGGTTATAAAGGAATTTCGGAGTTAGCCAAGAGCTTATCCAGCTTATCCTCTTTATAAAATTCTACCGTCTTCACGTGTAAACTGTATACTGCAGACTTTATAAAAGAAATGTCTTATTTAAATTAACCATGCTGCAAGCACGTTTGCAGAAACGTGAATTATATTAGATGCAAATTGTTTAGTCACAAATCATATGAGAAAATGAACACATGCACTAAAGGTGTTTCTTTCAAAATAAAAGTCTTCTTAGTCTTCTTACAGAGGATAAAGACATCCATTATTTGATGGCACTGGATACAGGTTACACATTAAAAATCTGTGCACTGGCTGGATGCAGGTTTCTCTAGAGTAGCTGTTTTAAGATGGCTATAAAATTCCTTCTTTTCAATACATTTCTACCATATTTGGGTTTAATGAAAATCCTTCAAGAATGTAATTATGTAATTAATTATTTCTATTGTCCACTTTCTAGATCAAGAGTTTATCTTAAGATAGAGAAACTGAATGGTTTGTTTTTCTTTTTTAAAGTGTATTTGTTTTAACTGAAAAGCCTTCAGTAGCCCCTTTAATTCCAGACACCTGTAGCTGAACAATATTATTTTAACAATGTCAGACAATTCTAGTTATTACACAGTTTGAACCCCCGTCCCCTCTATATTATTATTAAATGTTGTTCTTTCCAAAAAGAGCATGCAGTTATTTCATTTTACAAAAGACAACAAAAAGGCGGACGAACCCAAGTTTGGGGTAGATTTATAACACCTAGAGAAAATCCCCTGAGGTGGAGTTAGCCATGTGTTTATGCAACACCTCCCTATATAATTCTGCCCAATGTTCAGTTTACGCATTCAGCTGCGGACGCTTATATCATTAAGCTGTAAACAGAATCCATTCACCAAGTGAGTATTTTACATTTAAGTAATTTTACTTTAGAATGAACCTTAGAATACCATAAGAATTTAATTCTGAACACTAATTACTGCATATGTATTTAAACATTGGAAACCCTCCTAAAGGTGATGCTGTAAAAAGTATCTAAATATCAATAGAAAAAACGCTGTGTTTCATTTTTTTTCATTTTTGCAGTTTTCTCTCTCTCTGTGTGATAGATAGACTGGTGGTCCGTGCAGAGTGTACCCTGTTTCCCTCCCTCTGACAGCTCAGATAGGCTCCAGTTAGAAAAGCTGTTAAAAAAAATGGAGGGATAGATGGTTCCAGATCATGTTAGAGGAATGAAGTTTGCCTTATTAGAAACAATATCTCTTCAGGTTTTTAATGCTGTGGTTGAACACAGGATGAAGAAGAAGCTCATCATTGATGTGGACACTGGGGTGGATGACGCTATGGCCATCATGGTGGCCCTCGCCAACCCTGATGTGGAGATTTTGGGGATCACCTGCTGCCATGGCAACACACCCCTGGAGAACGTCCTCAAGAACACGCTGCGTGTCCTGAAAGTCTGCAATAGGCTGGATGTAAGTTTTGAGCAGAGTGTGGGAGAGCCTTATACATGGATATGGTCACAGATCTGACTGCATGGCTGCATGCTGGATGACCTGCTATTAAATGCAACCTACAATACAGATTCCAGTGTATCGTGGCTGCTCAAAGCCTCTGCTGGCCCGCAAACAGCATGCGGGTGATTACCACGGGAAAGACGGGCTGGGGGATGTCCCGGATCCAGATGCTCCAGGCTTGGATCTGCTGCAGAAGAAGAAAGCTGTGCAGGCCATGATCAAGCTTGTGAAAGACAATGCTGGAGAGGTGAGTGCTCTGTTAAACATGTTGCTAATGTACTGTAAATAAAATTTAAGAGCAAAATTTTTCTGTGTATGCATGTATTCTATGCATACCAGAATTATTATAGTTTTTGGATTCTCTTTATTTATTTTAATTTTTGTTTTTAATTCAGTTTAGTTCGGCTTAGTTTCTAGAGCGGATTTGCTCATTTCAGTTCAGTTGTTATTAAGTTTTATGTATCTAAAACACAACTCAATGACAACATTGTTTCACTACATGTGCCTTGAATTTGGGATTTTCTTGAAATGGTTTATTTATTTTAAAAAAAAAGGTAAACATAAAGGTTTACTCTATGTAAATGATCTATTGAATTTCACTAAAAAAGTAAATTTCTAGATAAAAAACCTTTATTTGTAGGGGTTTTGTTCATCCCAAAGCTATGTTATGAATAACAAGAGCACTCCAGTCATCAACACAAATTAGTCTTCTGCCTTCAGGTGATCCTCGTAGCCACTGCCCCCCTCACTAACCTGGCTGTCGCAGTGCAGTTGGACCCTTCCTTGCCAAAAAAGCTGAAGGCGCTCTACATCATGGGGGGAAACACTGAATGTAGGCTTTTATTTACTCTGATGTACTTGTTCTCTGATTTATGATTTTTTTTCTATATTAATAATAACAAGAATTGCATTAATAATGTCTGTGTGCAGCCAGAGGTAACACCACAGTGTGTGGAGAGTTTAACTTTGTAGCCGACCCAGAGGCGGCTTACATCGTGTTGGACCGCTACACCTGCCCAACCTACATGGCTACATGGGAGTTCACCTGCAGGAACAGCCTTCCGTGGGTAAGGAAACAGACAAGCTGTACAGCAAGCTGTATGGCTTTACACTAACTGAAATTACATTTAGAATAATATTTGAATATTTGTAATAATGCTGTTTTTGGCTTGACTGATAATTTCACAGTGATTTAAATTTGCACCCTCAATTTTTCCTCCTGTAGTCTTTCTGTGACACCTGGCTTGCCGAATCTACTCAGAAAGCAGACTTCATGAAAAAGATTTCAAGTCTTTCAAGGACGGTAAGAGTGTGCAAATGACATTATTACAATAATTAGAATCCCATCCCCAGAAAGTGTGACAAATTTATATCTTAATACATTTTTGCAAGAAAATATGTTGCAAGAAGCACTGGATCCCCAGGTGCTGCGAATGATGAGGAATTTCTGTTAAACAATTTTGAAGTTTTTTCACCTTTATTAGATAGGCCATGGGAAAAATGAGACAGAACAGCAGAAAGAGAGTGGGGGAAGACAGGCCAAGAGAGCCTCGGATCAAACTAAAACTCAGACTGGTATCGTGTCATGTGTTCACCAGCTCAGCCCAGTGAGCTAAACTGCCACTCCTCCCAGATTAACTTGTCTAAGCAGGATCTTAGTGCTGTGACACAATAATGCCAGGCTTCAACACACTGTGCTGCCAAAAGAATGTTATGACACTTACATACATGTCGTTACACATCCTTGTACTTTAATTTATAATTTGCTGAAAGGGGGGAGAAGCATAATACATAAGAAACAAAAACTGTCGCACTAATAAAATGATTGAATGATTGCAGCTTTCCTCACAGGGAGTGGTGTAATTCTCACATCAGAAAGGTCGCTCTCCTGATTCAGGTTGTGGGGCAGAAGCCTGAACAGAGAAGCATAGATTTTCCTACGAGCACCACCAATGTTCCCTCTAATTTTTCATGTGTCTGAGCGAACACACAAACTCCCTGAGCGGCCCCTTGGACCACTGTTAGCAACATTAGACGTGTGCACTGTGGTCACGCCAGCATCAAATCCATCCAAGTCACATGGTTTATTAAAATAATCAAATTACAACATTTACATTTATGTTAGACTACTTTTAATTAAGTGCTTTAGCCCACTTACAATGAAAATTTAAAAAAAAATCTTGTTCATGACTTGTGTAGCATGTTAACACTGTTGGAAGTAAAAATAACTTGAACTCCAATTTTGAAAACACAACTTTCTATTTTATGATTTTCTGTAAAGCTCTGACTTGTATTATGAGTATGTGTCTGTGGTCTGGGAGAGAGTCCTGTAACTCTCTGTCTGCAAAATACAGTATATAATGACCAACGTTGGGCAATTAATTATATAGTTACTTCTTCAAAAAAGTTACTGGATTATGCAAACAACAAAGTTTTTTGCAGCTGTTTACCTAAAAATGAAGCCAAGGCGTTTTTTTAAATATACATTTCAAACTATTTACAGAACAATCAGCTGTTCCATATCAAATCTGATGCCACACAATTTGTGCCACTCCAAAAAATAATTTCTGTCCACTATGAGATAAACGAGAACAACAGCCTGATACCTGCAGGCCTGACAACAGGAGATGTATCACTGCTGTAACACCTGTAACATTCAGCAGTCGCCTCATTGTTCTGACACACACAACAAAACTACTGACTACACTACACACTAACTACACAAGATTTGCCCTAAACGTAGCAAATCTGTCACATCTCAAAACACGTCACTCCTAAAACCTCCCCCCTTCCTAAACATCTGTTGCCATATAATTTTTTGATTGGTCGACATGGTACATTTTTCCACCAATAGGAAAGGGTGGGGGGGTTTTGGTTTTGTTTTTGCTCACAGGCTTTCCAGCGTTTTCCTTATAAAACACCGTTTCTTCCCGCAGTAAATATAAACAACGACAGTATTCAGGAAGAAAACCAAACATTACATATATTTTTATCATAACTCTGGTTTTATGTGGCCGATCAACACAATTCAAAAACTGGTATAAAGTCCACACTTTTTCCATTAATTGTTCTGTCTGTCCTGCTCACATCTCCAATGGTTGTACACGTTGTCATTAACGTGGCTTCCCTCCACATCAGCCACGCCTCTTTGCTAGCTAAAGCACCGGTGTTGGCGCATAAGGACGCGCATAAGGACGCAACCACAGGCTTATGGTTGACACACATAAGCCTGTCAACCACGTTGATTAGCTGCGTATATACGAATGTGAAT